GTTTCATTTAGAAATTGAACATTACGATCGAACTTAATAATTATGTAATTATTTATGCATAATAGTACAAGAAAATATTAATTTGTAAAAAACGCTTTAAAAAAAGTTTTTAACACTTTGTTTTACGCGTATTATGAATTTCTAAACAAACATTTCAATAAATATTTTAAGTAAGATTTGTACATTGTAGTCAAATTATTTAATATCTTTCTTAAGCAAAACATATATATCTTCAAATTTATAAATTGATTTAAATCAATCTGAGTATGAAATTTTGATAGAAATCTGATGTTTTGTGCCTTACAAGTAAATGAAATTAAAAAGGACTATATCGCGATACATCGCTATATCGCGATGCAAAACTGACGATGCATCACGATATATAATTTCTAATATCGCCCAGTCCTAGCTATAAACATTATAACGAACTTCATTCTTAATGTAATGATTAAAATGCATAAAACAACTAAATCAAATAACGAAAGCAAAAGAAAGTCACCATTTTGTCCATTCCTCTTGGACCCAAGCTGGTACGAATGGCATCGCAGACAGCTACAACATAAATAAAAAAACTTTTTAAACCAAAAAGATATAGCAAAAGATATAAAAATTTTATATTATATCAAAATGGATACCACATAATGTGAAAAAATTTCGGGTTTACTCACAAAAAAGATGTGAATTTCCAATGAAGTTCACCTTAATTTTATTTCGACAAAGAAATAAGAGATCATGCATTCATTTAAATATTCTTTTAATACAAATTGGAAATTCCTTGCCATTATAGTCTCTTAACAATAGCCTAAGACCTAAGACATGTTATGTTACTCACTTTAAGTCAAATCATTTTGGAATTTTCTTTTGAAATTTTACAGGTCTAAGAGATAAGAAATTTTTCAAAGCAAAATGCTACTCTAACAAATTCATGTCAACAGGGTTCCCACTCAGTTTGCAGAAAAAAAATTCCCCGACTTTTCCAGGTATAGCAGGTAAATTTCAATGAAAATTGAGACGATATATTTTTTTTTCTTTCAAAAAATGTATGTATTTTTCTTTTATATCCTTTTTTTTTACATCAGATTTTCCCCTCTTGCACGCTTTTTCTTTTTTCAAAAAATTTATTATGGCCATATGAGGTAACTCTCCATTAAAAATTTGCCCATTCATCTTAACAATTGAAGAATTATTAGTTATATGTACACTTTTCAACAACCTTTTGTGACAAACTGTTCCCATTTAAAGCATATTATTTTTACCTAACTATAATTTGAACATTAACATAAAATTAATTTGCTTCATTCGAGAATTTTAGGTCTAAATCAGTTTATGGATAATAAATATTTTCCCAATAAAATACTTTTATATATAAACATAAACATCAGTTTTTAAAACAAAAAGGTTTTTGGTGGAGTAAGAGGCAGTAGGCATTTTGGTAATCAGGGGTCTGTGTCCTGGTTTTTTTGAGAGGTACCTATTTTGTGAAAATTTAAACGTAATTTGTGAAAAATTAAAAATTATGTTAAAAAACCAAAAATACAGATTTATCGTTTTTTACAGGATACAAAAATAAAATTTTAAGAAAAAGTATTTTGTGTACTACTATTTTTTAAATCAGAATTTGTGAAGGTGCTGCCAAACGGTAGTAAATTTGGCCTGGGCAGACCCCTGGTAATGAAAAGCATTCATTGCGTCACCAATAGACCCATTTCACTGTAAAACTTTTATTTTCTTATTTAATTCCAAAAAAAAAAATGAATTTACATTTAAAGGATAGAACTTAACAAAAACCATTATATTCTGACAAATGAACTTATTTAAATGACAATATGTAACAAAATAAAGATCTTCACTGTACAAATATGAGAAGCAATTGTGACTTAGCCTGAGATAACTTAGAAATTGACAAATCAATTGGAAAACTATGTTAAGATTCAAGAAATGTAGGATGATTCTTAAGATTTATGAAGAAAATGATGTACGGAAATATTAATTTTTTATATTTAAATAATCCGACTCTTTTTTTACCAGTATTTAGAAGATTCTAAAAACAGCAAGCAGCTTTCTGTTAGACCTCTTATGCGAAATCTATTAAGATTTCTATATTGAACCATGGTTAAATTTGGTGGTCTTCAGGCAGTCCCCCCAAGAAAATTTTAAAAAAAATTCTAAAAGGGAACAAATTGACAGAGTATACCTTATTGCCACGGCTAGGAAAATTTTAACTCATTTTTTATAAATTTTAAACCACATAGAATATTAAGGTATGCTTGAACACACAGACATAGATAATGATATGGAAATATCTCCCCCTCAAAAGTTTTAGGCTTGAAATCGAACAAAATTTGTCCTCGGCCCTTTAATATTTTCTAATTAGCATCTATTCCCTCACCAAGTGGTTCCGTATTGTGATCTGTCTCGCCAATTACATTCATCAAGACGTGCCACATAATTTTAAATCTGCACATTTTTTTTGGAAAAAAAAAAACGTGTAGATGCTTGCCCGGGGGTGGCAACATTTCGAGGCTGGTCCCATTCTGTGATTTTTTTTTATAAAAAGTTTCGCGCAGGTTGCTGCCCTGAAGTTGTCAAGACTAGGCGATTATTCTGCCACAGAACACGATATGGAAATCTCACCAACATCAATTGTCCCTAAGTGTTATCACGCAGGGTTGAAGTTTCTGCCAGCAAAAATGGGTTTTTCCAGGACAGCGGCAAAAACATGGTAAAAACCAAATGCTGATTAAATATTATTACAAAATACTTGAAACAAATTTAAATCAATCATAGGGAATAATAATTTTGATGCATTACATGAAAAAATTATTTTTAACATATTAATAATTAATATAAAGGCAATAATTTTTAAAACATTGAAAGTTTTTGACCTCTTTTCATTTTAGAATCCTTAAATAAATGTTTTTTTTACAAATAAATAAATATTATTATTTGTATAATATTATTATTATTATATTATAAAAAATTATTATTTGTACAATAATTAACTACACATCTTGATAGATATTTTATGCTTTAAATTATAGTTATATTAATTTAAAATAAGTTCATTTCACTGGAAAAAAGAGAATAATTGCCAATTTTCCAATCAATAATGTTTTAAACTACTAAAATAATAATTTTGTTAATTTTTTTGTAATTATTTATATTTATAGTATATATTTCAATTTTAGGAATAATTTTATACCAAAAATGTGTTTTTGTCCTCTCATCTTGGAAAATATAGGTTTTTGCCAATTTGCTTGGCAAAAACCAGTTTTTGCCAGGACGGTTTTTACCGGTATTTACCATGTTTTTTTCCACCTGCGGCAAAATCTTGCCAACCCTGTTATCAAGGATGTAAAATTTAAGAAATAGATGGAGTGGTATGGTGTAGGTAGTTGGGAATCATAGTTATTTCGCGTCCAGGTGGTCCTTTTTAATGATTCTTAAAAGCTTTTTGCTAATCACAGCTTTGTTCCAAAAGTTTTAGTTTAATTCCCAAAAATTAGGATACTTCCATATCGTGATCTGTCACATCAACTACAATCGCCAAGGTGCCAAATAGATTTTAAACTTGTAGTAACCCAGGTAGATATTTGCCTGGGGGTGGCTACGAGTTATACATTTTGAATTAGTCCCTTCCTGTGATGTTCTTTTTTAAGTTTTTTGCGGGGTGCTGCCCGTAAGTTGCCAAGACTTGGCGATTATTTTGCCACAGATCACAATATGGAAATCTCCCCAAAAAATTAATTACACATTTAAAAGGATAGAACTTAGGTAACAAAACCATTAAATTCTGACAAATGAACTTATTCAACAAGCTTATTATTACTACTTTCCCATTCCATGATCTTTCGTAGAGATCTCTATCATTATCTACAGCAGAATAGTTAAGTTAAAACAACTTCTATGCAATGTGAGAAACTAACATTATACACAAGAAATGATCAACTCAAAGGGTTTAACTTGTAGCCACCTCATGCAGAACTGGTTTTTATTTATTTTTTAAAAAAGAAAAAACGAAGTTTAAAATCTATTTGGAGTCATGGTAATTGTCATTGGGGCATCAGATCGTGATATGGAAACATCCTTATCTTTTCAAATTATTTTAATTGTTTATTTGACAACGTTTGCAAATGCATCACTTCAACTCAGGTTTTTTTTTAATATCATTTCAAGAATTAAAAAACAAAATAAATAAAAGTAAAGATGGCGGAGATTTACGATGACTTTTCACTTTCTGCGATTTTTCATTCCAGCGGCATTCTCACGTTTGGCATTTAATTAATATAAAAATTAACACTTGATTCTTGAGTAGCTTAGGTATTAAACAATAAAGGAAATTACAGCTTGCTTATAAGTGCGACCAACGACAACTTAGAAAAAAAATCTCCAAAAAAGAAAGATCCGCTAATGGTCCCTGGATTGTAAATCAACTGCCCCTGGAATGAAAAAGTACCCTAAATTAATATAAAATATTTATATTAACTACCAATGCCCTAAGCCGAAACTCGCGTGTTGCCGGCAGGAGTTCTTTTCTTTTTATCAATAAATAAATCATACAATTAGAACAGTTATGAATATATAATTACTTATTTCAGCAAAGAATACTTAAAAACTATTAAAAAATGAATGTACAATAACAAATTATGGCACAAAAATTAAAAAGTATAACCATGTGCTTAACAATTAAAAGTTACATACCTTTGGCTGCTGTAATATTGCTATCACGAATTTGTTTGGGTTTTTCCCGATCATTATAAGCTTGTTTACCAGAAGTTTTAGTCGGAGCATTAAGTGTCATGATTTAAATAGTTTATATAATCTTTTTAAATAGTTAAGAAATTTATTGAACAACAACTGTCAACAGTAGAAACAGTAGGAAGAAATCTTACGACCTGTTTTGGGGATCTATGCTTCATGAATGTTCTTGTAGCTCCAATGGATTAACAGAGCAAAAAATTTAAACTCAGCATAGAATTTCACGATCGTAATGTAACAAAAAATGTTATGTTCTGTTATTTTGAAGCTTGTCTGTAGAACCAAATCGCAACTACAGGTGTTTTAAAAGCTTTAGTGCCGGTTATTACTCTAAAAACTTGAGAATCAGTTGAAATTCGCACATTCTTAAATTGTCCGTAACTCTCGAACACGCCATCTGGAAAGAAAACCGGTTCCATGGCATTACCCTTTTCATCCTTTTCTCTGTTATATAGGACTGTTCTACGATATTTTCCCCTTTCTTAATATTTTTCGTATTTAATTGTCTTAAATATAATAATTTAAAATTTCCATGACGTTTTTTTTTGGAACTATGTCCAATGATGTTTTCTGTTCCATATAGTTTCCTAACTAATTGAAACAGAAACTAATGTACTTCCTTCTAACGCTGAATATATTAGGGCAAAAATTAATGCCATTTTCCCATACTTTGAAGAAAAAAAAGTGATGCTTTTTAATATGTTTTAGCTTTAGAGTAGAAAATCTTAAATATTTCTCTGAGGCATTTTTAAATCCACGCACGCACATTTATGTAGTTAATTTTTGAAAAACTGTTGGATATAAAGTGGCAAAAAGAGCTGGTGTTCAATAGACCACTAGAATGGGCAGAACCTCTTATATACTGTCGTTTTTTTTCAAAAAAATTGTCATATCTAAAATTGTTATTTGAAGTCAAGGAGGTTCAACAGGTCCTATTATATAACAGCCTTTGTTGGAGAGCAACAAGCATGCTTTAAAACCCGTTTTTGCTTAGATTTTGAACTAAGTTGGGTAGGACTGGGTGAGTTAAAAAAATTTATATCGCAATACATCATTTGATAGACATCGTGATGTAAGGATGTTATCGCGCTAAAACATACGTCCGCATATTATTTCTTTTTAAACAAAGCTACATAATCCCAATTCCTTAATTAATTTAAAATAATTAAAAGAAAAAAATCTATACCAAAATATTAATTACAAAAAAATGCTTATATAGCATTAATAACTTTGCTTAATTTTTTCAAATTAAAATAATAAACGTGTATTAACTTAATACAGGATTCTAAAAGCAAAACAAAGCGCAAGCTTTGTTTCAAGTTTTTAAAAATAAAAACGACTCAGGTTTAAATTAATTGAAAATAATAAAGGTTTGTCAAAATATTTCGCTTATAAGTATTATAATATATTTTTAAAAATAAAGAAAGATCGCAGAAAAAACAAATAAAACTATATATTTAAGTAAAACGAAAGTATAAATTCCTTGGGAGAAAAAACATGCTTTTGAAGCATTGCTAAACCTTTATTTATTTTAAATAATAAAGGTGTATTGACTAAGTGTCAAATCCTACATGTAATAAACATAAAAATAGGTGTAAGTTTTGCTTTATTTATTTTTAAAAAAAAAATTAACTCAACTTAAGATTTATTAGTTCAAAAACAACATTGAATGACTAATAAACTATTTAACTTATATTGAAAGCAAATTTTAAAAAAAATGAAAAGTAATGAAATTAATAGTACTATTGTTAAAGTATTTGAAATACACTACCTTTAAAATATCAATACATAGTTGAACTTTCAATTAATTAAAAAGCTTTTAGTCGTTTTAACTAAAAGCAAAATTTTTCTTTAGAAAAAGTTTCATTTTAATTTTGATGAAAATAAAAACTATTAAAAATCTATTGGATTAAAAAAATAACTTATATGTATTGAAAAATCCTAAAATAACTAAGAAAAAGTGATTAGAAAAATGAAAACATAACAAAAATGCACATAAATTAAATATTGAATGAAAAATCGAATAAAAAAAGTGCCAATTTTAAAAATCATGTAGCAATCTTTTAAAATAGCAAAGTTGGATTGACAAATGGCTAGATATTAAATAAATAAATGTAATCTTTGTCTAAATGTTTGAAAAAAAGATCGACTAAAGATGTAGTTTAATAGATTGAGTTTGCAATTGAGTCCTATTAAAAACAGAAAATATTCTGAAAAAACAGAAATCTACAGAAAATATTATTAAATCCCTTCCCCCCCCCAAATGAGGGAAAATGCACAGCAATTGCAAAACAGAAGTTCCACTGGAAATAATCTTTAAGAAACATAATAATCCTGAGAAAAATGTGTAAAAAGAAACAAAGTACGCACAAAGCTGCCACTCCAGATTAAATTCGTACCTCGTCATTCAACATCGTTTTCGAAACTAGACAATATCAAAATCATCTTCATTAACACGGTAACAGCATTAGCGTAGGAAAGGGTAGAAAATCGTGAGCGTCTTCTTCTATTGACGGCTTAAGTCAAGTTTCTATGCATTCGAGAAACAAAAGCTGCTATATAGCTGTATGCATTAAATCGATTTTCTGCAAAATATCACACAGTCCTAAAATTGATAAAAAAAGTTTTTTTTATTAACCTTTTATTTAAAAAAATTTACTTTTCAAAATTCATTTATTGTTACTTTCTATTTCATATAAACTTATAAAAAAAAATTCGCCGACCTGGTGGCCAAGTGGTTAGCGTGCCTGACTACGGAGCCGCTGGTCGCAGGGCATGGATGTTTTTTTCGATCTCTTTGTGCTCTATGTCCTTTCTCCTTTGTGTGTGATTGTGACCCGCCCTATAAACGGGTTGTGGTTGTGTGACGTGGGCGACGCTGCTCCACCGTCGTATCTTCGCCACAGGTGCCCACTGGGTAAAGAGAAGAGAGTAGCAGTTCTGGCATTCCTGAGGCCAATGGGACAACCTCCAAGTGCCTGCCATTAAAAAAAAATTCTTGTTTAAACTATATTCAAATGAATATTTCTGTATATTTGTAAACATAATTGTAACCTCCTTTCCTTTGAAATTTTAAATAATTGCCACTGATCAAGCACGTTCCCGGAGTTGAGGTTGGCTGGTATAGTGGTCAGACGCGGATCATACGGGTAATGGTATTACTAACCTAGGTACATATCCACGTCTGGAAGGAAAGAAAGTCCAAAAATTTAGAAAAATATTTACGTTTTGGTTGCAGGCTTGGGTAACGGTTAATTTCGTTATGTAACATAATGAAAAGCTGACTAGTTGTCTATTGGTAACATAAATCAATTTTTTTTATAACCATCGTTGAACAGATGACCCAATTTTTAGGTTTACGACTACTAATGTTCAACTCTGTAGCTTTGTAATTTTGAACCAATTCAGAAGACAAGGACACGTCTGGATCAATACCCCCAGAGGTAGGATTTGTTATGGAGAACTTTGTGACTCGTCAGATTTGACGTGCATCAGTCACCATTTACTAGTTGTCAGTCGGCGGGGTTAGAACTCACAAACTCTTGAACATGGGTCTAACGCCCTACTAACCACACTATCCTGGTTCACTTTATGATTTAAAGCCTTATAAATCAAATAGAGCCGTGGTGGCTCAGCAGATAGAGTGCTCGCCTTCCAATGACGTTAACCGGGTCGATACCAACTTCGCATCCGGCTTTTGCCGACCAGAAGATTGATATAAAATATCTTCATGGGGTAGACGGATGATGGGATAGAGTCCCTTTACCGTCTGGCTAACCATGGGAGGTTTTCCTCTTCATAAAAAAGGCAAATTTCCCCCATTACTTGATCCAGGAGTTCCCTTGTCTTCTGAACTGGGTTCAAAATTACAAGGCTACGGAATTGAACAACACTAGCCATAAGCCCAAAAAATATTGGGTCGGCTGTTCAACGACAATTATGAAATTATAAAATCAAATATCACGAGTTAGTAGGGATCAAACCCACGACCATTTGTACATGGGCCCAGTATCCTACCAACTAGGCTCTCCCGGCCCAACATAAATAATTTAAGGCTGAATGGAAGTTGGTAATAAGTAACACATATTTATTAAAAACTACATACAATGTTTCAATTCAGTTATTATTTACAAATGGCACAGTAAAATTGTACACATATTTACAATTATCACAGATAACATTAACCCTTTGGTATTAAAAGTTTGTTTAGACTTCAATCTTAAGATTAGATGGCTTTGACAGTTTCAGCTCCTGCTTTAATTTTGGATATTCAGTCCGTGTGTGCCACACCAGAACCTGAGAAAAATAAAAATTAAATATAATTAAATATACAATCACAAAAGATTCTTTTAATTTTTTAACCTTGCCTACATCTGTTAAGTTTAAAAAAAATATTATCCATAAAAACCCTTGATTGAGACAGAGGCAATATCAACTATGACAGTCCAGTAAAAATTGGTCTTATTATGAAAGTTGTCAAGAGAACAGTTTAAAAAAGAAAGCACAGAGCAGCTCCATAAAAGCTCCTGAAGAACAAAGGGTGCACACCCGTACAAATTAATAATTTTTTTTTTTTACCAGGAAAAACTAAACGAGATAATTTAAAAGCTAATTTATATTCTATTAATTATACTTTCAAAGCACTAAGATGATTTTTTTTCATAAAAATAAATAAATAAAAATTAGTCAATGTTTTGAAACAGTAAATAAAATTAAAAAAATGGACACCAAGAATAACTTTTAATCTAGATTCAGATTTTCAAGTACTAGGGTTCAAATTTAAAGGTCCGAGGGTCTGACATTTGTTAGTGTGCTATTCTAAGATGAACTCTTTTTACCCCAACTGATTTGGATTTTTGATCTCCTAAATATGGGGGTAGTTATAATCTGAAATATAGCTTAGGCAGGAAAGCGATCAAAAGTTTGGACTCCTTAATGTTAATTTTATTTTGTGAGTACTTTGATATATCTCAAAATTTTAAGCAAATTGAAAAATATTAGCATGATGAATATAAAATTTGTTTATTCAAAAATAATTTTATGTAAAAAATAGTTTTCAATAATTATTTATTGTTTTATTCAACTAATGTCAAAAATTTTTGAATTTGATGGTATAAAAATTTTGGCATTATTATGTAATTGATGAATTATGTAACAATATTAGTAAGTAATTTCAAAAAACAAAATTTATTAAATAGTTTCTCAATAAAATTTTAAAAAGCTCATAAATTTAAAAAATTTAATTTTTCAGGAACTATTCAACAGATTTGGTTTTGTTATTTGTACTTACAATTACAATCTTCAAAATGATGCCAAAATTTGTATTTTTTAAATTTAAAATTTTCTTGAATATTATTAAACAAAATAATAAACAAATATTAAAAAGTATTTTTTAAACTGAATTAGGTTCGGCTAAAGGAATTCTATGATTGTGTATAAATATTTGATTTCCTTAAAGAGTTAAGATAGAGCGGGAAAAAAAATCCGAAATAAGGGGTCAAGAATCAAAATCCGCCAGAATAGAAAGGTATGTATAATCAGAGAATGTACATTTTAGCACCAGATTTCGTAACTTAAAATCCTCTGCACTAATTAATTAAGTTTGGGCATTCAAATCAGTAAGATTGAGTTATAATACATGAAAATCCAATCACACTATATAAAGTTGTTTAGGGTATTCACTTTTATATTTTGTAAAATATGCACAGTTTTAAAAGCATGCCATCTTAAATTTCCACACTATACCATTTACCCTATGCTATTTTTGCATGTGCCACTTTACGATGATTTGTAAAAAAAATTTCCATTGCGTTGATGTAACATATAATAAAACATATCACATTACTCTGACTGATCATTTCCCCTTATACTTTCTCAAAGGATTTTCCAAGAAATAAAAAAAAAGAAAAGAAATATTATAAATTCTCATTTAGATTATATAATTACTGTTGTAAAAATTTAAAAAGGAAAGTTAAATTGCAATATTACTTTAAAAATATTGTTAAACTGAGTAGTCAGAAAGTTGATTAATCTAAAGAGGTAACAGTTATCAAACTGAAAGCAAAAAGGGTTGCATAAAGTTAAAGAATTACCTTTGTACAATTGTCTGCTTTGGGCTCCAATTGATCTATTCCTACCAAACTCTTTAACAGATTGCTTTCTTGGTAACCTCGTGGGATGGATAAACTGAAACCGGCTTCAGGATGCTCCAGCAAAAGAGTGAGATTCACAGCAAATCCAGCCATATCGATGGGGAAGGGGCGATTCGCTTTCCACACTGTGTTCCAACCATACACTTTGCCATTTCTTACAAGGGGCCTTTCTACCATGAGTCCACCTACAAGTCCAACAGGCCATACTGACACAGTTTTGGTGTATCGCATCTAACAGAATTAAAAGTACACATGATATATTACAGATAATGAATTGCACAATAAAATGATTTTGGACATTTTTTTTAAGTATTTTTTGTGTCAGATTTTAATTGGTAGTTTTACTAGCCACAATCTGGTATGAGGCAATTATAATAATTTCATTTGGACATATTTGGAGTACATTCGGATACTATTACTTGTCAATGTGTGTTTGGTAATTTTTTTACCCTAATACTGGGACTGATTCTCAGCAATAAGAAACTTGGTTTGTTTATGGAAATGTCTGAGCCAGGCTGTGAACTGAGCACTAATGTCAGGCTCAAACATTAGTATGTCGGGTTTTTCTTGATTAAAATTTTGAAAACTAGTATTTAATTCATTTTTCAAGTTTTATTAGTATGTATTAGTTTTAACATTGTAACTAGTATGTATTAGTTTTAACATTTTCTGATACTTCCATAGTTAATTTATGATTTTTGGGAGACTGTAAGGGCATTTAAATATTAAAAATAAATTTTAATAATTAAATATTACATTTAGAAAAGAAATCAAATATTTTAATTGCTTATTTATCTTAACCCTAGACACAATTTTTAAAACAAAAATTTTAATTTTATTCATACAATCAATAAATTATATATAATGTCCCATGCAGCAGAGATAAGTATTAATTACGTGAAAATAACGTTAAAATGCCACAAGGTTTAGAGCAAAAAAACGTTTNTAATAATGATTTTATTGAATCAAAAACATCAACAATGAGAAAAAAAAATAAAAAAAATAATCTAAATCATAAATTATTATTTAAACACTAATCACTTTTATAATCGTGAAATATTTCGAAAATTATTGTTAGAACAAAAGTACAATAAATAAAATCAATAAAAGATACGATTAAAAAAAATCAATGCAATTTGTAAAATAAATATTAACACTGGTAATATTTATTTCTTANACTATTTACGTATATTTTTGGTTCTATAAATTCGTTATTTTCACCAAGAATATTTACGTGTTTTTAACGTTTATTTTTATTAAAATAACGTACATTTTACGTTATTTTAACCAAAATACAAACGTATTTTATCCATACTATTTACGTATTATTAACGCTTATTTTGAGCTTTATTTACGCATTATTAACGCTTATATATCAATATTTTTAACGCTTATTTTGAGCTAGGTGAATTGATAAATTTTTCGCGAAAATTTAACTAAATTAATTTCAATTTATCGTAATTTTAACCGAATTGTTAACAATAGCATATTTTAAGTTTTTTTTTTTTANTTAACACTGGTAATATTTATTTCTTATTAAAATTTTATTGAAGATATTTAAAATAGGAAATCAGATTTAATGATACTTTTTTTCCACAGTAATCCTCCATAATTATGATATTAATATCGAATAGCATTTCCATTTGCTAAATTATATGAAACTTAAATTCAACAAACACTTCCTTTGCCAATAATCATATTTTTTCACCACAAATTGATTTTGAAAAGCAGTGATTCTAATAAGTTTTAAAATTATTGCTGTACCACAATTTTGTAGAAGAATCACTTTATAAAAAATATGAATTATTGTTATTTTTTATATTTGAAAATGCAGAAACAATCAGTGGTAGAACGCTGTTTCATTGAAAATCAGAAATCAAAAACAAAATCATTTGGCGGTCATCTTTCAGTAGCAGAGAAATAAAGCTCTTCTTTTTTCTTTGGCATTTTCTTTCCGCAACTCCTATCATCAACAAAGTGTTGGGGCTCTTTGGTTACATTTCTTTTATTTATACATTTGTTTTAAAAAGCTTACATCTTATTAATCCTGCGACAATTTTCTTAGGGTATTACTTTCCTGGCGGCTTCAAAGGATGGCAATCATACGAGCAAAACAAACAGGTACAGGCATTTAAAAAGATCAAATTAATTTTATTTTATCATCATTATCAGAGAATGGTTATCCAAGTGACACACAAATCGAAGTGCTCTCTTATAAAAAATTAGAGAAAATCTTGCTAAATAAATCAGTCATATGTTTTGTCTTAGGGAATAATAATTAAAATGAATTAATATGAATAGCAATATTGGATTTTAAGAATCGCGTGAACATGAATTGCAATATTGTATTGTAAAAATGTATCAATGTTTTTTTTCCTTCATTTAGTCATAAAGTTTTTAAGAAAAATAGAAATTTTTCTTAAAAACTTTATAATTATTAATAGTAATTTATTCAATTTTTAAACATATACATAAAAATTGAATAGAAAAAAGTCTGCTTATTTAACATTTAATGACAAGGGTGTAAATACCTCTTCAAAGAGTTCAAGATCATACGTATTATCATCATCAGCAAAGTAGACGACACCGGGCTCTTCAATACTGGTGTGTCTTCTCAAGTAGTTAAGAGCCAAATTGCGCTGTAAGACGCCTTTAGGCTTCAACCAGCTGGGGTCTTCTTTTTTCATCTTTACGGGAAGTGGTGTTGGTATATTGAGGTGAGTATAATACACCTTTGATTTCGTCAAAAAGTTTTTCACGAGAATAGTTTTATTTTCAGAATCTTCCACAACTATCCAATGAATATTGGGCACCTTAAATAAAGAGGAAAATAAAATTCGAACTGAGGCAATAATAAAACATGAGAATGAACTGATACATTGATTCAAAATAAATTTAATTTTTCTTAGCAGGAATATATTAAAAAATAAAATGTTAACACAATAATGAAGTTCCCACTTTCTTTTGCTGTGCATAATCAGAAGTGCAATGATACAGAAATATGTACACTTAGCATTTACAAAATTTAAATTAGCGAAATTTTACTGCATAGGTACATAATACAAAATAAATTTACAATTAAATAAAAAAGTAACACTTTAAAGGTACTAAAGGTACAAATAAAGGTACTAAATTAAGAATTACACAACACTGAAATTTTATACATTATGAAGAGATAAAATTAAATTGATTACTTGGATTTAATGTTCTAATTTTTAATTATATTAGAGCAGCTCTTATTGCATTTTTATCATCCTACACTTAAGATACTAAAAATTTTTGCTCAGAGCAATTCTGATTTGACTTTATGCCTTTTTGAGGAAGCCAAAGTTTCAGAATAGCTAGTTGGAGAAATAAGAGGTCTTTTGCTTGTCTTATTTCTTGTTTCCATTAAATCATTTTTGTTTTCAATTTATTGTCTTTACGATTGTTTAAAGAGTGGGGGAAAAATACCATAGACTAGTTACAAATAACAACATTTCATAAGTTATGATTTTTAAGGGCGTAAAAAACTTGTTTTATAAACAGATTATCACGGAAACTCACAGGGAAACGACAGGAAAAATGATGAATTTCTGCTGAAAAAACAACAAATATGGAAAAAACTTGGTTGGGTCATTCTTAGTGAAGCGCTGCTCACAGAAGCATTGATTGCTTGATTTTTAAAATGCTGTTGATTTTTAACTGCTTGTTGTTTTAAAAATTTTCCCTGTTGTTTTAAAAATTTTCCTTGTTTTACTAAAAACTTTTAGAAATTCCCTGATATTTTCAGAATCAATAAAGTTCCTGATAATTGCAGGATTCCGCTATTATCCCCATTGCTGGACACACTAATTACATCTTTAGTAGTTTAAAGATAAGTGTAATATACAACACAAAATTCCACAAAACGCAAATCCTCAGATTTTGAAGTTCGTGATCTTTAAGATCTTCTATTGTATTTTAATTCTCAATTCCATTTTCATAAATATCTTACGTTATCGATAAAAAGTTTTTCTTTGTGTAGTATTGTAGTTTCAAATGCACATTGTCATAATTTATTTTTAAAATATTCTGATTTAAATAAAAAAAATTCTGATTTAAACAAAAAATTCTATTATTTTGATTCTTTTTTAAAATCAAAATAATAGTATTCCTTAGGAAATCATAAAAATTTATTTCGAGTTAATAAATTTTCTTAAAAAATATCTCGAGTTTTATCAAACTTGAAAAAACGTATCACAAAGTTTGCCACAATTTTTTTTATGATTGGTCAATGAAGGTCGTCTGAAGGTGAAAGCATCTTTAAGACATCTTTTCATTTATTCTTTTACCTAAGAAAAAAAGATTTTTTCTCCTCATGGGATTCAATGAGAAACTTGTTTCAGTGATTCTGTTAGACTTTGGAAATTACAAATCAGTAGGAAACTGTTTGGGTCTATTTTTACCAAAAGTCGGTCCCTACTTAAAATAACATAAATCTCCCATTCAAAAATGCATGCATAAAAATCAAATATTTTACGATTAAGAAACATATGCAATTATTCAAAAGAGAATTAAAAATGAAATTGTCCATCAATTTTCCTTAGTAGATCAAAATAAATTGATCTTTTTAAAAGATAACAAGACACACTTTATTTTAATTCGTTTTAATATGAACTAATTCATTACGCTGATTAGATGATTTAAAATTGCTAAACGTATGTTACTCATATGTTATGAAACATCAGATTTAGCATAATTTTAGAATAATAACAAATAATATAAAATGATGTTGTTCCCATAAAGAAATTTAATTTAATACTATATTATTTTTAGTTCTGTTGAAAAGTACTACTATTAAATATAGTGTGCGATTTTAAATGAAAATTAGGCCTCCCAGAGAACGCGTCATAACTTTTTTTGCTTCCCATCTATGATTGTCGAACCTCACTAACATGAAATCGCTTAACATAAAATAAAGCTTAAGATAAAACAATTATTGATGTATTTTACATGTTTAACATGAAACTTTCAAGCTGATTATCGCTTAACTTGAAAGGAAACTGGATACAGCACAGATAATAAGCATGTGAATAAAATCCCAATCATTCATTTTGAGAAATGCTATTTCTATTTTCTTCCCTTGTTAGAAGTAGCAGATGGGCAAACAAATAAAATAGTTAAATAAAGTAGTTAAAACTTTCAAGCTAATTTTAATTTGTTTGGTTTATAATAGCATTGTTTGCATACATTAATGTAGTACATAACATATATTTATAATACGTAATAAATTGTTTTCATGATGTATCGGATGAAACAAAATTCGGCTAACATGAAATGATTATGATAGTCGGCCGATTTTGCGTTATCGAGGTTCGACAGTATATGATGTGCCGTAGCACCATAAGCAGAATCACTCTGTTTACATGCGAGAAATTTCTCAAATAACTTATTAAAATGTTTGATCAATTAAATTTATGACAATAAGTAACTTACTAACAACAATGTATGAGACATTCTGGTTAGTTCTGCTTTTTGTACAGGCCTGGCATAAGTAGGTGTAACAATATAAATAGTTGGTTTTTTAGTTTGTAAAGACTTCTGAAGTTCTCTCAACATCTCAACACATTCAGGTTTTCCTTTTATTTGATGAAGTGCACGTGGGAAAAGAGAATCCTAAAGGAAAAAAAAAATTAAAGTAAATTATTTTTGGACAACTTAATAATATCAATCGTTTTTAATAATTTTTGACTTACTTATTTAGATTTTAAAACAAAGTGGCACATTTAGTCACATGCTCTACACTTGTTAACACACATACTACTGTATTACGCGATATAAAGACCCTATTCACGCAAGCAAAAACTGGTGTTATAATGTGATCTTTATAATGTGAGGCAAACAAATACCTTAAATATCAAATCTCTAATAAAAAAATAATTGACAAATTTAAACAAAAAAAAATGCTCTACTTTAAATGAGTATGATACTGATACTCTGATGATTATGATACTGATACTCTGATGATTATGATGAATGATTATGATACTCTACTCATCATTATCGTGTGATGAATGATTATGACATGATCATGCAGATTATAAATGATTAATTACAAACACTTAGGACAAGAGGTAGGACTAAACTGGAACGTAATAGGGTGTCAAAAACATAGTGCACAAAATACAATGTAGCGTAATATTTTATCAAAACGGGTTAATTAAAACCTCTCAGATTCAACAAGAAAGAGTAAATCAATTCACCTGGTCTAATGGGCAAATACTAGTTGAACGTGTAGGGTTTGTATCCAAACAAGAGTTGAAAACAGCTGAAAAATAAGAAGAAAATTTTAACTGACTGCTACTAACAGAGGGAAAAAAAAAGTTACCAAGAAAATTATTAATTTAAATTTGACTATTGAAGAATTCATTGCAAAAATAAAGATTTTAACAAACATATTTGAGATATATAAACTGAAAAGTTCATTAAGATTATCCAACAATGAACGAAATCTTTAATTCTCAGAACATTTGGGTTTATTTTTTTTTTCAGTGAGACCTGAGGACACAGTGTTTAAATAAGGTATTGAGCTATTATTCCAAAGAATCATAGATCTGTCTGTGGCACCTTAATTTCCAGCCAGTTTCAGACTAAAGGATGTCAGTTTGAGGTTAGGTTGGTGTAGCAAGTTAGGTGGCTGTCGCACAATTATGATTCCATTGCCACCCTTATTGTAAAGCCTCCATGACAACCATCTAGCCAACAACTGGCTGTTGTGGCAATACTTTTTAACGCTTTTTCTCTCTGTCTACATATTAGGTTCCCAATTGATGCCAAATTTGCAAAACTAAATTTTTTCTTAATGAAAGCTTTTTAATATTTTTGATGTGCAAACTTTTTTTTTTGTAACAATTTATTTTCGCCCAGTTTTCGTTATCTCACTGTCTTTCTTTATCTCTTTATTTTTAGTATATTTGCGCATAATACAGAATGCTTTGGGCTATATCAATTTTGATCTAGCTCTTCAATAAAAAATTGATCTAAAATGACTTTTATACTTAGCATTCATGGAGAATTTTTAATGCTCCTTAACTGATATAATTTGACTTAAAATAAATATATTCATTCAGCCTTATGTTCATAATACAAAGTTTTAACCTCGATTTGAAACAAAATAACATTTTACTTAGTTTTGCTTGAAAAAAAAAAGCTATTGGAAAACATTATGGGTTTAAAAGTTTTTTACTATTAAAAATTATCAGCTTTATACAAGGGAAAATTATATATTTTTTTTAATCGATAAAAATGTTTAAGTATTATTAAAAAATAAATTTGCATTATGGGTTTAAAAGTTTTTTATATTAAAAATTATCAGCTTTATACAAGGGAAAATGATATTTTTTTTTGAATCGATAAAAATGTTTAAGTATTGTTAAAAAATAAATTTGCTTTAGATATGTATACAAAATTTTTACATAACTGGATAATACTTCCCTAGAAATCTAACTTTAAATATAGGACTGCTGTCGTATATTTAAAGTTAGATTTCTACTTTAGATTGCATACTTTAAAATGATGTAAAAATATTGTATACCATATAATTTTAAAAAATTTCGACAATTATTATTTAAAAAAATAATAAATATTTATTAAAATGTGTCTTTCGGATGAAATAATCTTTGGATAAACTGATTTTAAAATTGTGTTAAAATTTTTTTCAATTAGCTTAAAAAGTTCACAAGATAGGGTGTAATACACAAAAAGTAAAATTAACACTAAGGGGTTCAAACTTTGTATTTCTCTCCTGACCAAACTATAGGGACCACATTTTTCAGATTGCAGCTACCCACCATATTATGGGGGCAGAAATCCTAATCCATTGGAAAAAAGGTACGTTTATTAGCATAGGTATTTGAGGTCATCCCCTCAAACCAAAGATTGAGTCCTAAGACATGAACATCCGATCATTAGATCAAAAGTTATTCAGGGTGGTCTCTTTTTTTTTTTTTGCACTCTGTCCACCAATCTTCTTTGTATCTTTTTTTTTTTACATATAACTACACACAACATTTTTTACATGTAACTATAATCACAATGTATTACCAACTTGACAACACAAACCAATTTGTATTTTCAATTAGATGATTTCCTAGTTAAGTAATAAATATTTCTTTCGAATATATCCCTTCTTTCATCTCTTTCTTTTAACAAGTATAATATAGTTTTATTTACATTTTTATAATTAAATTAATAAAAAGCTTAAATTATTTATTACAAAATAAAAATAAATAAATTTTCTCTAAAAAAATAATCTTTATATTTTAATAAAAAAATAAAGAAATACAGTAGAGCGCCAATTATCCGAATTGCTCAGGACCGAACGTGGTTCGGATAATGAAATGTTCGGATAATTGGAAAGTTGTTTAAAACCTAGTTAATATTATTATTTATGCACCAACTTCCCTTCACACTTTTTCTAGGCTTAGGACTGGCAGTGCTATCTAAAATAGCCCTGGCGAGTTTGACTTTTTTTTCTTTCATTTTTTAAATATATTTTTTTTCAATTTGAATCTTTTTTTATCATATCTCGGCTTTTTTATAATTTTTTTCTTCAATTACTGATTTTACCACATTTTTCTTTATTTTCCATTGCAAAAGATATCCAGCAAAGACTTTTGTTTCAAAGGACATGCTCTTTTTTGTGCTGCCATATCCCTTATTCTTTTTAAATAAAACAACTCAATTGGATCAACATCATTTTGACGTTCTAGGCAATTCATTGCAATATCTAATGAATTGCATGCTTCTTATGAAAAGTTCCACGATCTTGAACTTGATCACGTACTTCTTCCTGTTAATTTGAGGAGTTCAGATTTTCATTCAAAATTTCAGAAACAATTTCATGATCATTTAAAATTTGAAATCCTGAGTCGTTTTCAGTGTCCCGACACCAGTCTTCTATTTCCTCTATTTCTTCTGTATAACATGGCATATTTTCACCCGAAAGATCTACCGATTCACAAACCGCAGTTTCGTTTGTTTTTCTGATAAGAATTTTATTCCAAGATTTAAGATTCCAATCACTGTAATCACTAATCATTAACCATGAGTGACAACTACCCACCCCCCAATTGTAGAATTTTGGCACTTATCTATTCATAAACACATTCCGCTTTCCAACAATTGTAGTTTGTCAAAATGAAGCTCGCATTCTTTGATGATAATTTTCAGTTGAAGAGGGCTAAAGGGGTATGTAGGTTTAACTGTATAACAATACATGAATGTATGGCTACAATAAGAACTGTTGAAAAAGGTTGTAAATTAAATATGGTCTTCAGATGTAGTGGATATTATCTATTCCTCTAAATTTTGAAAAATTGTCGATAAGTGAAAAAAAATTCTAAACTTAAAAAAGAGAAGAGGAAAAAAAGCGAATTCGGACATAGTTCGGATAATTGGACGTTCGGATAATTGGCGGTCTACTGTAATACTTTTTTTCTGCTTCAATAAATTTAAGTTGAAAAAAAATTTAATTAAAAAACAATAATATTAAATAGTTATCAAACTATTTAGCAAAGAATATTAGAGATAAAATAGAAGCATACCAGCTGAGATTTGAACAAAGAATCTCTCTGGGAGTAAGCAGACAGCCTAACCATTACACTATGAGTACACATCAGCTTTTGAGTTCAAGTTAATTTAAAAGAAAATGAACTGAAACTTTAATGGAGCAAAGTTTACCCAAGGGCAGATTAGATGGTTAATTTGTATCGATCCAAGATTTTCAAATGTGCTCCTTAATTTAAGGACTTTATCTTAATAGAAATTTAAGAGAGTCCCTTGCTAGTGAATGCGCATGTGAACCTGCACATGACTATCTAACATGTAAAATGATTGACACTTTTATAAACTACAGATGGTGGTATGGCAAAATGAAAAGTTGTAGAAAGAATTTATGAAAACTAGAAAACACTAGATGGAACATTATGAAAATTCTGTTTTTTACACAATTTATACATAAAATGATACGACAAAGAAAAATCTAATTCTGAAAAAGTAAAAATTAAGCATATTTTACAAACACACAGTAAAAAATAACACCAATAAATAAACTAATTTTTATAAAATGAAATTAAAAAATGAGCACTTTCTTCCAGCACTTTTTAACGTTACGTCAAATTTTCTCTGGGGCACATAACTTTTAAAAGGGAATTAAACTGCAATGCTTACCCATTTGCATAATAAACCAAAGTATAAGTGCACCAAAAACTAAGAAAGCCACATGAATTGGAGTCAGTTTTATTCTCATTTTGACAAATTCAGATTTCACATTATCTCAATTTCAAAAATTGAAGGATGTTTTTCTTCTTTATTATGTACCTGTAAATATTAATAATTTAATTAAATACAAAACAGAATTTAAACACAATAAACTTGTGCTAAGTTATTAAAAATGACTAACTGTAAAAAACTGCATCTGCAGCTAAATAAATAAATAAATAAAAAGCAAAACACTTATACAACTCCAAAATTCGATTCAGCAAAATCTTCTACTATCATTTCGTAGTAGGCCAATGAAAAAATCAGGTATAATTTTTTTGAAACTCTATACATATGCAGAACTCAAGACTGTTAATAAAAAGAGAAAATAACAAACAAAAAATTATAGTTAACTGTGCTAAAGCATAACAAGGGTAAATTTAAAGCCAAAGAATAATGAATAGATTACTTTTAATTTCAGAATATCTTTATGTATATATATCAGATCAGAAAGTTTTAAAATGTCCTATTATGATTTTATTGACAGAGCACTGAAAAACTCATAACAGTTTAAGATGAATGTATAGAAAATTTTTTAGTACTTTCCCATAAAAAATAACCAGCATAATGAGTTGATATTCTCACACATCAATATTTAATTAAAATTCATAAAAGAGTTCAAAGTTTCCTTTATCACATAATTTTAAAGAAAGATTCTAATAGTTTTGAAACAAAAACATATGGTAAATATGCCACTATATTTACCATATTTTTCTACAATCACATTTTATATCACCATAATATTTTTGCATAACCATATATTTTAATTGAAATCTACAGGGTATCTGCTAAATTTTAGATTTTCAAATCCATGACTTTCCACGAATTTTTCATGACTTAACGAAGTTAGTATTTTCTCCGACAAAAACATAACAATAAATTTAAAAAAGCATTATAAAAACATTAATTGAAATGATAGGAATAACCAAAACTGTTATACTCTGCATCTTCATATTTATAGATTTTAAATTTAAAAAACAGAGCAAAGAAAGAGTTGAAGCAATAAAATAGCTGAAAAAAACACAAAAGCGAATAATTTCTTTTTCCTGCAGAATTACATTCTAAGGATACTTTTCTTGTTCATCATAAAGGGAAAAAATACTCCTGATTCTTCTGTTCTCATTTCGGAATAAAAAAATCCGCCAATGACTGGCTTGCCTTCAGCTAAAATTTTAAATTGATAAAAAAAAACAATAACAGAAATTCTGAAATCACAGAAGTTTAAAAGATAATTCGCTCTAGAAATGCTTTTTCTTTCATTTTTTGAAAGAACACCATAATTATTAAACAACACGATAAAAACATTTTATATTTTAATCAAATATGACTGTGAGTGGAGATTTTGTTACAAATTCAGATATTCGGAACACTATGAAATTGGGATAGATTTTTCGGCAACCTAAATCCATGATTTTTTTAAAAAAATAGTTAAAATCATGACAAATTTTGTTCAATACCAAAATTCAGGACTTTCCATGACCTTCCAGGTGCGCATATACCCTATTAAATGAAAAAGATGTACCTCTTTTAAATGAAAAAGACAAACTAACGAATGATTGTGAAACTACAAAACCTCACACATCAAGATTTGGTACCACATTTACTGCAAACAATAAATAAGTGTATAACTTTCGAATACATAACCATAAGAATTTGATAGTGCAAAATTGATTATTGAGTTCCTTACTCATAAAATGACTAAATTCTGAAAGTAATTAAAACAATGAAATCTACAAGGCTATATGCCTAAACCACATTGTAGAAATTAAGTTACTCAGTGTAATTGACCAATAACAGAGAGATAATATCAATTCATCTAAATTTTCACTGATCCCTTTACGTTCACTATTAGACCTATTTTTGAATAATGCACAAAGTGAAGTTAAATAAAAATTATGACACAGAGAATGAGTAATGTTCACATTTCTGATAAAATATACTTTTGAGCAAAAACACAGACCAAAATTCAAAACAGCATATCATCCCTTCAGTTCAATTATATTGATTAAGGAAACCACTGATAATTATTTTATGATAGTCTGAGTCAAATTTCAGTAGTCTCTAACCCTGAGCTACCCTAATTTCAAACTCCATATAAAACTTAATCACCAGGGGTCAGTCCAGGCATTTTGTGAAAGGTTCGGTTTTTGTAAAATTGTGAAAAAATTACTCGTAATTTGTGAATATAAAATAAACGTTAAGTTACATTCTTTCAACCAGGGTCCTGTTTTTGTGAATTTGTGCAATAGGGTCCTGTTATTGCAAAAAACTTTTTCAAGGAGTTTTTAATTTGTAAATAGATACAAAATTATGTTCAACACTGTAAAACTATAATTTAAAAAAATTAAATTCAAAAATTAACAGCCACTGCTGCTACTAAATTAGAGATGCAACACACAAATATTTGGTATTTAGCCTATACTGCTGAACGCAGAATACGAATAAAGGAAGAAGCGTCTGCCGAAGACAAAACTTAGTTCGTTTACAACTGTCTTTCTCCCCCCCCCCCTGGGAAGTGTTTATTCGATTAACAAAACAATAAGGAAGATAAACAAATTTGTGAAGGGTCCGATTAAAGGATAAATTATTTTGTGAAGCGCCCATTTTTATGAAAAGATATTTTGCGAAGGGTCCGCTAATGAACCCAAATTTCTTCTAAACAGACCCCTGATCACATAACAAGTTTAAACAAAGAAATTTTATCTAGCAAAATTTTTTAAAATTCAAAAATTACAGATCAAAAAACCAAATCCTTTGGTTCATAACCTTGATCACTTAAAAATCCCTATTTGTATTCGAAATGGGAGGTACTGACCAAATACAAAAAAAAAAATGAAATATCGGGGCAAAAAGCTAAAAAACAGGAGAAAAGATTTTGCATCACGACAACAATGAACTTAGCAATTTAAAAACTACAACTGTGAGAAATAGCAAATGGTTTTAGTAATCTTTTATAAAATCATTATGATAAAACTTAAACAGAGCTCTTAGATGGAAACGTTTTCATATCAGTACTTGTTCATGCCAACAACTGTTGAAGGAATTTTGAACCAGAATTTTTTTTTCCTTAAAAATAAATATGTAGAGGTTGCGAGTTATACTCTTTCAGTTGGTCTCCATTTGTTATTATTATCTTTTTTTTTTTAGTTTCTAGCGGGCCACTGCCAAGAAATTGGCATGACTTGGGGATCATTTCTCTAGTTTTTTTTAAATCAGTTATATACACTAGGTAATTTTTGATAAAAGAGAAAACGAGATTAGGATTAAGAGATTGCAAGAATAAAATACATTTAAGATGATCAAACTAAACTAACAATGAAATAAAGGCAACTTGAATTGTTACAGTTTCAAGTTTGGCCACCTAATTGGATTAGAGAACATTAATATTAGTAGAAACTAACACGATAGGATTTAAAAACTTTTTACTTCATTACACTTGAAAAGAAACAAAAAGAAAATGGTAATGCCAGTAAAATCTCTACTCTTTAATTTATGGTTGTTTTCGGAGTAGCAAACAACTATTTTAATAACATTATTTTTGATGTTAAAAATGCTTCAATGTTAAAAAATGTGATATTTTGAACTACGAATGAAAGATGTGAGGCAGCAGTTTTGCTTTTTTTTTAAAATCCATTTAGCTTAATTTTCCTTCAAATTGCAAATCACGATTGTATCATGATAAAAATTTCGATACTGTTTGGAAATAATCACATTTAAAAATCACTTCAGATCGTTCTTAAAATCCTTTGCGTCTGGCTTTAATCACTAACGGGCCAATCTTGATGAGTTACAGGACTATTCACACTGCTTTTGCAATCGCATATACAAATTCGGAACTGCGAATAAGAACACGCCAATCAAGTTGCCTCTCGCATCTCCACAAATTCACATACGCGGTTTTTTTTTTATACAGTGTGAGTGGCCCTGTAAATCAACGTGGTTCTTTGACGTATCCAATGTTGTTTAATGTTTACCCTGTTCAAACGCTGCTAGAGAAGAGTTTTATATGATTCCAAAGGATTAGCCTTATAGATATAGGATTATCATTAGTTTTCCATATTGACTCAAACAGCAAAATGTTAAAGAAAATATCACGTAAATTAAAACATTGTGAAGGTCTTTTAATGAAGAATGAAAATATAACTTTTTCACATCACCCCACATCTGTAAGAATTTTATATGATTATTGTAATTAGAATTTAACATTCTTTGCCTAGTTCATAATAAATTATAAAAAACATTCTCCGATACATTTTATTAATCAATATAAGTTCCAAATGTTCTTTTAGGTATCTTACACATATCAGTACTACAATAGTATGAAACATGTTAATTGGGATATTTCCGAATTGGTATCTGTTTGCTTCTACTACCTTCACCAAGGCGTCAAAGGTTTTTTTTAACTTATAAATAACAATAAAAAACTTTCAATGAATGATTTGTAAATAAATAACTCAAAAGTATACTCAATGTTTCAGAAAGTAGGTGCTCCTTAATTAAAGAAAGTATTCTTAACAGAGTCAAGGCTGGACAAAAGTTTTACGGGTCCTATGTTAAAATTTATTGTGAGCCCCTTCCTCAAAGCACACAAATTCATGATTTCTAGATTATTTGGAACCCATCTTTCAAAATAGTAGTTTTTTTTAATCTAGATATGAAGGACTTTTATCATTTTTCTTTTAAAAATCTAGTTCAGCAGTTTTGATTCAGCATCTCAAGATTGTCCCTGTTTTTCTTCCTTGAGTACAGCCTTGAATCATATTAGCATGGCAATTTCATTTAATGTGTCCAATTTAAGGTAATATGAAAGCAAAAATCATTTAGTGTTTTTTTGCTCTTATTGTTGTCAAATTTGCAATTTATTTAATCATAATTAAATTTATAAATATGATTGATGTTATAATTATTATATAATTTGTCCAGGCATAAATTAAACTTAAAATACTTCCAGACTATTGTGGATTAATAGTACTCAGCAATAAAATTATTTTTGTTCACAATTTAATTTTTATATCACAAATATTTAACCAATTATAAATATTCCGCATTTTAACATAAATGTAACTTTAAGATTTTACTTAAGGGGTTTGAAATTATACCCTATATTTAAAAATGCATTTGAGTTTCCTTTTTTTTTTTTTTTTTTTTTTTTTTTTTTAGAC